GACGCCGCCCCTGGCGCGCTCCGCGCGCCAGGGAGGGGGGTCCAGCGCCGATCCGAGAAATCCGCGCGGACCTCCGAGTTGTTATGTTTATGCCACTTTTTGTTTCTCTATTTCTGTCTTCCCCACGTTCCCCGACCGCCCCCCCTGGGAATGGAGGGCAAATTGGAGCCTTCGGGTTGGGTGGGGGGTGGTTCGGTGGGGGGTAGGTGCAGGATGAGTACTCTCACGCCAGGCTGAACAGGTGGACGAAATCCACAGATGGCCCCATGCTACTTCTGGACGTGGGGTATGACGAGGAAGCGTCCCTAGAGAAGGAAACAACGCCTGCTTAACATGAACTGTTGGCGCTCCGGCGGAGGACCCTGGAGCCCCACACAAAACGATTTTTTTTGTCCTAGTTGGGGGGCCACCTCCTCCTCCTCTCTTTATCCTCTCTTCCTCCTCCTCTCCTCCTCCTCCTCCCCCTCCTCCCGCTCATCCTCCTCTTATCCCCCGCCTCCTCCTCCTCCCCCTTCTCTCCTCCTCCTCCGTCCTCCTCCTTCCTCCTCTCCTCCTCATCCTCCTCCTCCTCCTCTTCCTCCCCCTTCTTTTCTCCTCCTCCTCCGCCTCCTCCGCATTCCTCCGCTCCCTCGCCTCTCCTCCTCCTCCTCCTCCTCCTCCTCCTCCTCCTCCTCGGCCTGGCCGGGAAGCAGCCCGTTCACTATTCAGTGCGCTGAGCTCGATGCCGGGAACTTGTTTCCTCTGACGTCCGGGAAGACCGTTTTAGCAGCCACGGGCTTGCCAGCCCTCGCCCAGCTTCCAGTGCTGAAATGCCTCACATGGCAAAGCTGAGGACGCAGGCGAGCAAGAGCGAGGCGTGAGCCTGCACAGCGCTCGTCGCCCGGGAGCGCCGGGGGCACGTGCCGCTGCGGGACAGCGTGCGAGGCGACGTGGCGCGGCACGACGGGGTGCCGCACGACGAGCTGCAGAAGGGCCATCGCGAGAAGATGACCACCTACCTGACCACCCCAACCCAACCCGGGTCTTCGGTTTCATATGTGTTTTTCAATGTTCCCCGACCCCCCCCCCACCACCGGAAGTGGAGGGCGAACTGAGGCCCTCGGGTTGGGCTGGGGCGGTGTGGGGTGGGCGGTCGCGGATGCCGAAGCTGGCGCGGCTGCCTCCAAGTCCGCCTGCATCGTCGCGCCGAGCTGGCCATCCCCGCGAACGCCGCGCGGAGCCGCGCGCTGAGTTCAGCGGCGGTGGAGTGGCGTGGCGCCGTGCTCGCAGGCGTTGATCTGCCGATGTGCGCGCGATCACAGAAACACGCTGCATCGCAACTATGGACTTTGCAAATTCTATCGGCTCGTTAGGTCGGCGCTGTGCCCAGCCACCCCCCCCCCACCCCCTGTGGTGCGGCTGCCAACGCGCGCCGCGCGCCATGACTTGCCCAGCGGCTCCACGAGTCGCCGCGCAGTCAACAAGCGAGAGCAATGGCCGCCAGAACCCTGCGGGACAGACGCTCGGCCTCGGGTTTCTTGTGATGCACGAGCGGACACAACATCGCCGCGCCCGGAGCGAACACGCATCTGAGCGCAGGACGGGTGCGTGCGATGAGGGAGGGAAATGAAGGCATTCGGGAAAGAGAGTAAGAGGGAAGAGGGGGTGGAGGGACAGACAGGCGTTGGGAAGGAGGGGAAGTGTGGACGGGATGAAGGGAGTGGGAGAGGAAGGAAGAGACGGGGGAACGGGAGGCGGGAGGAGTGCATGGAGGAGAAGGTAGGGAAGAGCGAATGAGAAGAAGGGGGAGAGGGACGAGGAGTGAGAGAGGTAAGAGCGATGGGTTGGACGGATGGGAGTTGGAGGGGGAAAAGAGTTTACGGTGTCCCCGACCTCGGCTCCTGGAGAGTACATGGCCACGAAGCCCGGCTCGCAAAGCTTCAACTCGTAGCCAGGGCCGCCAGTCTCCGCGGCGGAGGGATGGAAGGGAGTAGCGAAGGCGGATGAGTAGGGCGACGCGGGAGGGGCAGGAAGGTCAGATCTGATAAGGACAGGAGTGTTGGAAGGAGGACGAGAAGCTCCTCCCTCCTGCCTCCCTCCTCCCTGTTCTGCTCCGGAAAACGGGCGGTGTGTATTGCACCGTCTGCTTGCAAAGTGGGTGCTTCGTGTTGAAAGGTCTACTGACGAAGCGGGCGTGAATGGTGTAGCAGAGTGGCTGTCAACAGCTCCGTGCTCGACCAGCCAGAATGTGTCTGGGTGGATTCGTTTCTCTGATCTTTACCCTGTGGGTCCTAGTGTAATTGCAGCAGGTCTCCTTTCGAAATGGGCGAATTGTGCGGCGCGGTCTGCGTACGAAATAAGGTGACCCGTCTTGCACGCTCCAAGTCTTCTCTGACGGAATGAGTGGTATGTGTTGTATGATCGGCTGGGTAATCAGAAACAGCAGCGTGCTTTCAACTACACATCTACACGTCGGTCGGACGAAGTAGGTAAAGACATGAAGTAGGAAGGCGGATGAAGTTGATTGGGTCCAGGCCCCCCCAGATGAGTACAAAAACACAGCAACAGCGTGCCGATTCTTGAAGCAGGAAGGCGCTTGAAGTAGATTGCGATCTGGGAATCCAGAAATACCTACTTTCAAAGACCGGCGTGCAATCAGAAACATCAGCGTGCTTTCAACTGCACATCTATTCGGCTACCATCTTGTCATCCGTATCATTGGTGGCCGACGCCATCCCGCGGTGGGTCGTGCATTTGTTTGTCAGGTCAGGGCAGCGCAGAGCTTTAGCCACGAGCAGAAATGCCTCGACTCCTTCGGCAACGGCCCCGCGGATGCTGTGGAGGAGGAGCGCGGAGGCATCCACCATGTGACCCAAGTCGCCGGCCCAACGGGCCAGAGGCGTGCTAAGATCTCGAGTAGCTGGTTAACAGTCTTCCTAGTTCGCGCGCGCGGGGCGGCCCCTGGGGGGCCCCTGGACGAAAAGTACCCCGGCCAGGTCCCGGCCCACTCCCCCAGAGCGCTCCAGGAGCGCATCAACAGGCCTCCAAGACGTCCCCGAGACAGTCCAAGAGGGCCTCCAGTCGCCAAAGGATCGCCCCTTGTCGGTCACGATGACCTCAAGATGGCCGTAGAAGCCGCCAAGAAGCCCCAAGAGTGCCTCAAGAGGCCCTCCAAGAAGGCCCCCCAAAAGTAAAAATTGACAAATTCAAAACGCATGTTTTCGCATATGCAACTTTTCAGGCTTGATAGCGTCCGATACAGCCCAAGAGGCCACCAATATTGCCCCAAGACGGCCCAAGATGGCCACAAGACGGCCCAAGAGGCGCCCAAGACGGCCCCAACGGGTCCCAAGAGGCGCCCAAGACGGCCCAAGAGAGCCCCAAGACGGCCTAAGATGGCCCCAACACGGCCCAGAGTCACCCAAGACGGCCCCAAGAGGGCCCAAGAGAGCCCCAAGACGGCCTACGATGGCCCCAAGACGGCCAAAGAGGCCCCTCCAAGGAACTCCCGAGACTCCTGTCAAGAGACTCGAGCGACGCCGGATTCACAACGAGCCCTCAGGCAAACGGAAGAGATGCGACAATATGGGCCAGCGGAATGAGCCAAGCGATTAAATAACGCAAGGCCATATTAAAGGCAAGGAACGGCCCAACGACTACAACGGCCGAGGGCGACGTTAAACGCATGGCTGGCGAACAATACATGTTTCATCGTCGCCTTCA